ACTTTAAGAACTGCTAAATGGTTTGTAATAACTTTGTGATTTTTTTTTTCCTTAATTGTACTGCTTGGTCATTCAAACTAAAGTTTTTAGATCTTTAATCTTTAGACCAAAGATCTTGTGACTTTTGTGACTTTAGATCACAAAACTAAAAAATTTAGTTTATAATAGCTTGAACACTTTAAACCAATTTTCAAAATTAATCAGTTTAAATTTTGACCTTTTCATTTACTAACCTTGTATTAAGATTATATAACTGATTATTTATAAACTGATTATTTCAGTTTATAAACTGATTATAAACTTTTTATTTTATAAATAACTTGATTATTTCACCAAATTACTTGACCATATAAAGACAGGTGGAATTTGTTTCCCAGCTCATGGATTTTCCTTTATCCATGTATTAAAATTTCTATATATGGAACAGGGAATATAGTCAATAATATTATTATAACTTTGTATGGTGAAAGATGATTACTAGACTTATTGTGGTAGTCGATTCACAATGTAGATAAATGTCAAGTCACTATGTAGTCTGCCTGAATCAAATATAATGTTGTATGTTAACTATAATTTAATAAAACAATTCTATAAATCTAATTTATTTATAAACCTAGACAGCTTATTAAAAAGCAGAGATATTGTTTTGCCAATAAAGGTCCATCTAGTCAAAGCTATGGTTTTTCCAGTGGTCATGTATGGATGTGAGAGTTGGACTATAACGAAAGCTGAGCGCTGAAGAATTGATGCTTTTGAACTGTGGTGTTGGGGAAGACACTTGAGAGTCCCTTGGACTGCAAGGTGATCCAACCAGTCCATCCTAAAGCAAATCAGTCCTGAATATTCATTACAAGGACTGATACTGAAGCTGAAACTCCAATTCGTTGGCCACCTGATGCGAAGAACTGACTCTTTGGAAAAGACCCTGATGCTGGAAAAGATTGAAGGCAGGAGGAGAAGGGGACGACAGAGGATGAGATGGTTGGATGGCATCATGGACTCAATGGACATGAGTTTGAGTAAACTCTGGGAGTTGGTGATGGACAGGGAGGCCTGGCATGCTGCAGTCCATGGGGTCACAAAGAGTCGGACATGACTGAGCAACTGAACTGACAGATAAATCTAATTTGGGTAAATGGGCATGTGAAGATCTCAGAACACTTAAATACTTATTGGCAGAGCTCAGGTCCTTAAAGAAAGCAATTATGGAGGATTTTTTCTGATTAGTAAATTTAATAAGAATTATTTTGAGATTAGCTACAAATTCATATTCATTGTGTCCTATATGAGCCAGCAGGTGGCAAACTTGAGAGTTTTTGTACTATTGCTCCTATTGAGGAAGTACAAGTATTAAATGAACTATGTATGTATCTACACTATACTATACTATATATGTAGCCTTCCCTGGTGTCTCAGATGGTAAAGCATCTGCCTACAATGCAGGAGACCCGGGTTTAATCCCTGGGTTGGGAAGATCTGGACGAGGAAATGGCAACCCACTCCGGTATTGCCTGGAAAATCCCATGGATGGAGCAACCTGGTAGGCTATAGTCCATGGGGTCGCAAAGAGTCGGACACGACTGAGCAACTTCACTTTCACTTTCTTTCATATATGTATCAATGGATCTTATGAATAGCTTTTTTGGTGTACCATAGCATAAGAAAAATGAAAACCTCTAGTTGTAGAGCCACTGGTGTTAGAATACCAATGTATTTTTTGTCTGTCTGTTTTTCTCTAGATTTATTGTTTTATCCTCTAATTCTCTCCCTAATAAATAATTTTGAGAGAGGATGCCGACTGAACCTATTTTTTTGCTATGATTTCCACAAATAAGAGCAAAATGTAACAGTCCTACATTTACTTGGAGGTGGGGGTCTTTTCAACATTTAAAAGGGCATGCAAAATATATTTTGTCTCCCAGAATAAGTAATGTATGATTTTTTGAAAGTTCTAATAACATTGATCTTCATGTTTTTAAATACATACAGTAATTTGTGGTGATGATTGTTTTTACTTTATTTCTATAAATATTTCCATTTGGGGGTGGCTTTTTGTTAGTCATATATAAGTGAGGATGGATTTAATTTATTTCTTTATTTTTATTGGAATATAGTTGATTTACAGTGTTGTGTTGGTTTCAGGTATACAGCAAAGAGAATCAACTATAGATACATCCACTCTTTTTTAGATTGTTTCCCCATATTGGCCATTACAGAGTACTGAATAGAGTTTCCTGTGCTATACAGTAGATCCTTATTACTTAACTATTTTATATAGAGTAGTATGTATATGTCAATCCCAGTCTTCCAATTTATCCCTCTCCCTCTTACCTACTGATAAGCATGTTTGTTTTCTACATCTGTGACTCTATTTTTGTTTTGTAGATAAGTTCATTTGTACCCCTTTTTTAAAAAAAAAGATTCTATGTGTAATTGATATTATATATGTATATTTGACTTTCAAACAATGAAAATTGGTTATATTCAAACATATGATTAGGCTTTGGGGTTATAAGAAAACACATTTCTTCAAAGATGAAAATTCAATCATAATACATAACACCCCTTTCTTTCTCTCTGGAAAATTTGTCCATTGTTAACATTTGTCCATTGTCTAAAAATTAATTTCCCTTCCTGTAAGTTATACTTCTTTTTATATGACTGCATTAACCAATCTATTTAGCAATTACTATAACTTTCTCTTTTTGATGGGTAAGAATGCAAAAAGGAAAGCAATGACTAAAGATACACAAAAAGTAAGAGAACCTAGATGTTCCACTATTTCTACATATGAATTGGATCATTAAATGACTTCTATAAGATTTAAATAAAATAAACTATTCTTCACTAAAATAAGAAACTATATGAATGATTGTTAGTGAACTGAGTGTTTTAAGAAGTGGAAAGTAAATTCACCAGTTATTGAAAATAAATGCTTGTGTTCTTTTCCAAATACCACAATAACTGAAGACTCTCTAAGACTTATTAAGTTTCTAATACTTTATAAGTCTTCCTTCCTTGCTTTTTTTAAGGGAAGATTTCATTTTTTAAAAAATATGGAATATAGATATAAGGAAAGTAAATTATACTGTACAGTTGAATTTAAACAATGAAACAAGTTCTGAAATTTAAGAAATGTAGAACTGGCACTTATGATATAGATTGTATATCACTCAACTTTAGTGTTCTCACCACTGGGGTTTTTAAAAAAAAAAAAAAAGAGGAGGAGGAAAAAACTTCTAATCAGAAGTAACTACTAGTCTACATGCATTCAGAGATTCCCTGATGTTCTGCAGTGTGTTCTAAGTCCTCTTTTATCTGTTTTCCTTCACTCCAAGTTCCCCAGAAACCAGTTTTAGAGAAAGATGACCCACAACCACTTCTCACCCCCAACTCCCCACTCCTTGCATCTTTCTGATGGAATACCTTGGGATTTTTTCATGAAGTCAAATCAGGGACGTGAAACTGAGCTCAGACTCAGTGATTCCCATGTGCATCAGATTACAAGCCCAAAATACCTGAACCATGGCTGGCCCTTGCTCTAAGGATTTTGAGTGCAAACTGTCATAAAGTGTGCGATGAGGCAGATTTTTTTTTTAAAGCAACGTTGTTTCTATTTAGTACTTAAATGTACACATCTCTTGAATTTGAGTGAGAACACTCGGTCCCAGGAGGGTGGTCTGGTGATGCAACCCAGAACAGGTTGTTGGGGAGAGCTAGGGTCTGCCAGCTGAGGAACCACGGCCAATTCCCTGCAGAAGTGTGGCCCCAGCCAACAGCATCTTCCCCACGTTCAACAGGGAGGATGACAGGTCATGGCAGCTCCTTAAAACATGCTGGAGAGTAGCTCTTCTTGAGGGGGGAGTTCCTCCATGAAGGTCCTTTGGAATCCTGTTGAATTGAGGAGTAGGTACCTTCTCCATCCCCTGGGCTCTCTCTGCCTCTCTTCACTCCCTGCGCTCCCACATCACCCCGTGTACACGCAAAAGAAAGTTTCGCACAGAATGAGCCCCGTGTTGACGCAGGCATCACCTCCCCTCCCATCTGGACAGAAGCCCAGGACGGAGAAAGGGGGGTGGGGGTGGGTGAGGGGGGGGGGTGGGGGGAGAGTGCGAAGGAAGGTATCGCGTGGAAATCTGTGGTAAGGGTCCCCAAGTGGGGCCGAGCAAGGGTCAGTCAAGAATATTGGTCCTGCATCCACAAATACATCAAGCTTTTCCCTCCTCCATCAACCTCTTAAATCCCAATGAGGTCACTGCAATGAGAGAGAATCAGATCCAGAGAGGAGGAGAGGAAGAGGACGACGACGAGGGAGAAGAAACCCAGACGGAAAAAGGCCATCAGACAAGGTCGCTTTTTCTGGCGACACAGCAACTGTGAGAAGCGTGGTGCTGAATATCATCCGCCCGCTCAGCCTGGGGACCGAGGGACTCGTGGAAGCACTTCGTGTTAGCACGAAAACAAAGGAAGGGAGACCAGGCGAGAGGGCGAGAGAGCGAGAGATGCTCTGAGCAGTGCCGCTTAGGATCTGGGGAAGCGAAGCTCGTCTACTTGGCGGGGAAAGAAAAGAGAGCCTGAAAGGGTCCCGGAAGCAGAGAGAACGGGATTTCCCTGCGGAGACTTGGGACGCGGCAGAACTCTGGACAGCGCCTGACTCGGGAGCAGGGCTCCGAGCTCCCTGGCTCCCCCAGGCTTCCGGCCCCTTCTTGAAAGCCCTTTCTACCAGTGAGCTCTCTCCTGGACTCCGACCACCGACCGGGAAAGTCCTTCTATGACCCCTGTCTGAACGTGCCGGGGGTGGAGCAGCTTTGCTTCTGACCTGGTCAGGGAAGAGGGTCTCTGGTCCTGGAAATCCAGTCCTTGTGGATAATGCGTCTCTGGTGAAGAAAGAAAAGTTTGGGGTCTGGTAGCGGGCAGAGCGGGTAAGGAGGCGAGTGGAAGGAAGAAGGTGGATGGTCGGCTTCTTTCTCTGACCTGGAAGGAACGATGACCGAAGAAAGATGTGCACCAGCGGCCAGATTATTGGAAGCCTCCTGCTGCTCTCCGTGCTGGAGATAGGGCTGGGGGCGTCCAGCGTGGCCGTGGGGGCGGTCAGCTTCAGCCTGGCCCTCCGAGAGCACAAGCCGCAGCTTGGAGACTCGTCCCCGGTATGGAGCGGGGTGTGTGTACGTTGAGGCATTTCGCTCTCTCTTTACGGTGACGGTCAGTGTGCGCGCGTTAGTCACTCCCTCCCTGGGGTTGGAAATCATGAATCTCCTCTGGCTTGCACGTAGGTTACTGTCGGCAGGCTGTGCCTCTGTACGTTGTCCTTTAATTATTAATATTTTTTTTTCTTACCTTGACTTGATAGCAAATTAAATGGCTTTGTTTAAAGTGGGGGAGGGCAGTTTCCACTGGCTGAATCTGCAAGAGGTTGCCCAGTGGGGCTGATTGGGGGGGCCGGGGGAGGGGGGGTCACACCTGTCAAGGGCAGGCTCATCCTCCATACTTTTACAAGGAAAATCAAAATGAAAGTGTTACATCATTTTCTTACACCAGCAACAAGCAAGGGTAGAGTTATGCATTTATTTCTCGGCAACAGTGCCCAAAGTACACTAAAGACAACACAGATATCACAAAGAGAAATACAATGTGAGTATGAAAGGAGGATTTCATCCCAGAAAACACTGCTCTTAATTTTCCCTTAATAAAACTCTTTTGTAAGTTCTAGGGAATAAGGTAAACAACAAATGATATGTAGCAACATTCTAATTCAAGAATAACTCAGCTTAAAGAGTACCTAATGCTCAGAGAAAATGTCATTTTTTTTTCTTTAAGTCAGAGGGCAGATCCAGTGAGCTTCTAGTTTATTTACTGTGGGTGAATCTCCAGGAAAACCTTAGAGACCCATTTCTTCCACCCAGGATCAAGAAAATAACTTAGCACTATTCCTAGTGTGAACCTACTTGTGAAAATCAGTTTTTCTTCTCCTTTAAGTTATATAGCTCTTTTATCCATATCCTTCTGGATCTTTAACTTGATTCTATTTTCTAAGATATTTTAATAAGATGGTATTCTGTCACTGATAATTAGTATAATTAGCAATCATGACTTAGTTATTTGTGCTTTAGGTGTCTGAGGAAAAAAATGATAATTTATGAGTTCAAGAGTAGTTCTGAAGCAATTCATTTTTAAGTGAAGTTCTAGCATTCTTAAAACTGGCATAATTATGCTTTAGAAAATTAGTTTTTAAAAAAAAAAAAAAGAAAATTAGTTTTTATACTTTAACTTTTCTAAGTGAGGAAAATGTTTTTAAATTGCAGAAATTAAAAGAAAAATGGTATTCAGTTCTAACATTGGATTCTTCTAAGAATCCTTGTTCTAAATTCAGTAAGTCCCAGCAACCATAAATAATTACCTTTTGCTATATCATTTTAAATATAAGTATGAAAGACTAAATAAAAGACAGATTTTAAAGCTAGTTATTTTACATCTTATATGTAGTAGTGATTATTTTGAGAGTTGTAGTTAGCATTATTACTTGATTATTTGATTAAACATAAACTTGAAAACTTTTACCAGACAGTTTTCAAAAGGAAATGTAATGTCAACATTTAAATCAAGTGGAAGAAAATGTGGTCTTTTGGTGGCTTATGAGGAAGAAATCTTAAATATTCTTCAAATTAATTTCCCTCTCAAGTTCAGAAAATTGAGTGAGTGAGTGTAGGTTGTCTCAAAATAGCATTTAAGTATTCAGTTTACCTTCATGAATAAAAAGGTGGTTGCATTTGCTTGGTGTCATGTAAGAAAAATTTTTTTAATGTTTTTTTTTCTCTCTTTCTCGGCTATTTATTAATTATCTAGGTGAGTTGACATGTGTATGTACAAAAAAATGAAAAATTTGAAGCAGCCCAGTGAAAAGCAAAATAGTAAAGCACAGTCATTATCATAATTATTTCCTTTTTAAACATTTTGCTTTTTAGAGTAACCAAATTCACCTATGATTCTGAAATAATAAGTGTAAAGTCTGTTGTCTGATTCAGTAAAGGAAATAAAAAATAAATCCATGTGATTGAATGAACCGATTTGAAATTTGAGTGCCCAAAGGGTTGCTAACTTTTATAAACTCAATAAATCAAATTTACAAAGAAATAAATGTCTAAATTTTACCATTGTTTATCAAATTATAGTCTTGCTGACTTGATTTTTAAAATAATTTTTCAGAGGTCATTTGTAATACAGGCTGGATTATCGCAATTCTGGCAATGATGAATTCATGTAACCAATATTTATAGAGGGCATACCATATGCAAAGCATTTTACTATTTAACACAAAGACTATTAAGATGAATCAGAATGCCAAGCTGAGGAAGTAAGATGGATATGTCACTTCCTTTACCAGTGGTGAGAAATTAGAGTTTGACTTCAGGGAGTTACAGACACAGGGCAGAGAAGAAATATCCTTGGGAGAAGTATTGTTTTTCTCTTGATCTTTAAAGTTTATTGAAACTTAGAAGGAACATATCATAGTATGAAATCTGGAGTCTGCCTGGGTGTAGATTCCAGGTCAGCCTTTAGCCGTTTACTATCTGGTTGACTAGCCAAAGTTTCCTCATACTTTGTCAAGTAGGGTTGCTAGAAGGCACAAATAAAACCATGTTCTTAGTAAAATGTATGATACATAGTAAGCACTGAATAAATGCACATAGCTAGTATTGGGTGCACAGAATGGCGGTGAATGCCTGAGAAAGAAAACCTTCTCGGCAGCAAGGTTGAAAACAAAAAACAGACAGGATGGGTTATGTTTCAGGAAGAATAAGCTCTTATATTTTTCTGAGGCCTAGGTGTGTCAGGGAGAGATAAGGATGGAGAGAATGGTAGGGACCAGACCATGAGAGGCTGTGTGCCAGTCTCAGATTTATTTCCTCATAGTTTTAATAAAATAATAATAATAACAATTCTTTTTTTTTTTAATAATAACAATTCTTAATTTCCAAAGAGACCCCAGGAATATGCAGCAGAAAACTAGACTGATAAATACTCATCTCTTTGGTATTATGTGAATTAAAAATTTTATGTTATTTATAAACACTAGATGGGATTGTATAATAATTAACTTTTCAGGTCATAATCCATAATCAGAGTGTATTTTGATTGGTGCCATGAAGTTTTTTTCAATACATAAATATCATTATTACCAGATTTTGCTTTCAATTTTAGAAGCCAATGGAAATAAAAACTGTACTATGAAGGGATTGCTTATTATATATGGACCTCAACATCATAAGCTTTTTATCTAGGTCAAATGCACCAAGAATTTAGGCAACTATTTTGATTATTTGGACTTAAATTATTGTTGGGTATTTTTGGATTATTGGAAAAATTACTGGACCAAAATTTTAAGTGGCTTAAAAATAAAACAGTACGAAGCAAAAGGGCTTAAAATCTATAAGATGGATGTTTATAAAGATTATTTCCAGTCACTATTTCACAATAAGGTAAATGGTTGTTATGGGACCTGGGGCCAGTCTAAAAGATATGGGCAATTAGAAGGGAAAAAAAAGTTTAACTATAATTTCATAGCAAAAGAAAGGTATAAGTGCCTTATAGGATTTTGGCCTCTTCTTGAGTCTTTGTTGTAGTTTATATAGATACCTCATTGAAAACATGAAATAACACATTACTACTAGATAACAGTAAATGAACCGTTGAGTAAACTGCTTTGGAAAAGACACAGGCATGTGAAATGTAATCGACGTGTAACACACTGACAGGGAGTTAGACAGGACTGTCTCCAAGCGGCTGTAGGATTGCCATTCTTCTCAATCTCCAGTACGTCATCTATAATGTGAATGGATTGTATTTAGTGGTACAGATCCAAGGAAATTTTATTTTGTTGCTCTAAGTTGGCACTTTGAAATCTAAGGATTCAAATGGTGGTGTCCAGAAAAACATCTGATAGAGTTTTATTTTACACATACCATGCTAAATTCCATCCATCTATATCTGATATTCATTCTATAGATGTATTAAAGGAACTTTCTTTAGGCTCCTTTACCCCACATGTAAAATAATCTTTTAAAATATTCACAATTTTCTTAACAAAGTCATAACATTTGAGTGATTTTTATTGCTTCTGGAGCATTCTTAATTTGTACACCATAACTTTATCTGCTTCAAAAATCTGACACTTTAATGAAATTTATAGCCTAGTCAAGTCACATACTTAGTATGTGGATTCCTGATTGTAGATTCCTGATTCACCATGGCAACAACTCAGCCACTGTAAGATTGTGTTGAAATTCACCTGTACATCCTGATCCACACCAGAGCAAAAGAAATGGAGTGCTGTATATAAATGGCAGTTGCTCCAAAATGTTATTTCTAATATTTAAGTCTATTCAGTTCATTTAAGGAAAAACAAGACAAAGTGAAAAAAACCCTCAAACAGTTACTTCAAATATACAAAATTTGAAGCTAGTGTGTCTCTGGCCAGATAATGCATCATTTTTTCCAAAGTAAAAATATATAACATAAAGGATTCATATTATTTATTATGAGATGAAAACAGTGCCCTATCCTCAGAAAAAACTAAAACTATACATTTATATCCAATTTTAAAATTAATTTTAATTATATAAGTTATTTATAATTCCTGTTGTGAAGGGTTAAAAAAGATCAAAACTGAAGTTCTCTTCCCTACCACATCATCAAAATTAGCCAACATTATAAATCTAGTGTATAACCTCACAGATATTTCTCCATGCATACATATTGTTTGAACATATAGACTAATTTTTATATCAAGTTTCTGGATATAATAAAGTCCCTTCATGGCTATCTAGAGCCCAGGTAAAGAATATTTTCCTTATATGAGTCATACTCTTATTCTCAACTGCTACTTGTTATTTACTGGAATCAGGGCAATTAAATAAGCGGCAAGTAGATAAGTTAGACAGGTTAAACACTTGGAATATGTAGTTATTATTCAAGGAAACATACTCTGTCAAAAAAAAAAGTAAACTGCCTATTTCTGGTGTTGATTGATAATGACATGATGGGAGGAAAACAGTGAATTTTGTCATTATCTGACAATAGTTTTTTTTGTTTTAGTCAGTATACCACCCATATATAAGTGACATGCATTGAAATTTCTATCCAGAACACACGACAAATTCTGTTTCAG